CTAAAGGAAAACATTTTTTAAAGGGAAAAATAGTTTTTTAAAATATGTTCAACAAAATTATTGAGAGCTGTGGAAAATTTAGAAACTACATATTATGTTCAATATTGGAGAAATGGATAATTAAAGTATACTGCATCTCTTTGAATAATGTGTAGTTTTAAACACAGGTGTTAAATACATATCAATGAGAAAAAAATACCTCAAAATATTTTTACTGCCAAGTTGGTAATATTATAGTTAATTCTAAGTTTCTTAATGCTTGAAAAGAGATTTATATTTTAGATTTGTAGGGGTTATATGATTTGTAAAATCCATTAAAGCTCTATGAATATACAATTTCCTGGAAAAAAAAATCTCACCTATGATGTTGTCTGACATAGCTCCATGGCCAGGGCCCCAGGAAGCTGAGAGTTCACCAAGAAAGTTGTAAAGTCAAAAATGCCAACTAGCTCATCTCTAACAAGTATGGTTGCTGATATATAAGTGGCACCTGGATAAGACCTTTCCCTTGAGCCTTAAAAGTGCTACCACTTATTCTATTTGTAGTCAAATTCTATGATGTTTCTTAGTTATGGCTAATTGGACCTCAGGAGTATTTCACCATCATTAGCAGATCTTGCCAAAAACACAATTATCTCAAGAAAGTAAACTGATTTTAGAGAACTCTTATAGCATTCCTCTTTAATTTTGTGTTTCACCCTTAAGTCTACATTAAAACAAAACACTATGACAAGAGAAAAACAAGTTAATTACTTATATACTTTGCTATTTGATAGTAAATGATCTTAAATATGGAGTCTAAATATTTAATATTACATAAATTAAACACTTAGGTGGATAACTATCTGATTTTTAAATTTTTATTATAATATTTAATTTTTAAGTGACCTACCATTCATGGTAACCATAATTTTTAAGTATTATTTTCAGATTAAGTGATAATTATGAACCTTATTATAATATTAGCACTTCACAGCAGATAAAATGTACAGCATTTCTTCAAAGCAGTTGTTTCATGTGCCAATTCTGGAATTAGATTCTCATGATAATAATAAAAATAATTCCATTCTCCAATTATATTCAGAGATGGTAAAATGGATTTATTTCAGTTATTTAAATTTGATCTCATAATATCCTTATGGAGTAGAAAAAAGTAAGCATCAACATTCACAATTTATAACAAGGAAATAGAAGACAGAATCAGAATGCCATTTGCCAAAGCAAAATAAGAAACTAGACCCAAAAATTCTGGGCCAGGATCCTTATCTTTAAGTTATTGTTTTAAAACTAAAGTGGTATGACATGTTTATGCTGCCACCAATGTGAGGCATATTATAATTATTTACCAAAAGAAATAAATACTGATCTTTGAAATTATTTTAATCAATTCAATTCATTAATTTCCCCATTTACCATAATGACCATATGTTCAGATATGCTTGCTTTCATAAAAAGAAAAACAAATTGAACATAACTTTGGATTGGGTACAGAGAATGTGGTAATTATGAGCAGCATGTGTCATGAAGGAAAAGCACTTAAGAAAACTGAAACCACATGACCAAGCCTATTTTGTCTGGACACTTTAATATTATAGGGCCATGATATCTGCGATGGCAGGTGCCAAAGACAGTTTGAATGAAGATTTGAAACTCTCTAGAGGGTTATAAGGAATATGGTTTTCCTTCAGTGTCATTATGAAAATGTCTTGAACTTGTCTTTCAACTCTGAAATGAAACCCAGAATCAGATCGGAGAGTTAGCATGTACAAAGACATCATTCCCAACCTCATAAAAGCTTGATATCTATACACAATGGCCCATTAACTGGTCACCAGCCTCACTTAAACAGCTACTGTACTGGGTAGAGAGATTGCTTTAGAAACCCAGCCCCTGTCTAGCCTAGCTCCCCAAGCTCCAGAGAGTAGCATGGAATGGTAAGAGAACAGAGTTAGGTCTAAATCAGTGAAGGTTGTTCATGAAAATCATTTTCAAAAGAAGAGTCCCTGGAGCCACACCACGAAAGTCTTTTCCAAAATACAAATCCAAGGACAGAGGGGTTTAGAATTCCAGAGAGACAGCAACACAGATTTTCAAACTTGAAGAAGGGTAAATCCAAATGAAAGTGTCAGAAAACATATATGGATCTTATCACAGCTGATCAGAAATTAGGTGAGGAATGGTTTGACCTTCGATAGGTTTGGGGACTAATTTCACAAAAACCAAATATCCACTGAAGTGTTCTTACAACAGCTTCATGCATTTCACTAGGTAGAAGAGCATGTTCTCAAAATAAAGAGGCACTCAAGAGCAGAGCTCACGTTGCCTTAGTCCAACCCAGAGACAATTTTATCCCAAAAGGATATCTCTGCAGTTGTTTACCAGGAATAGAAACGTTTGGGGAGGTGGACTATGGTCTCAGAACTCTTCCAATTTTACTTCTAATTAAAGTAGAAGCATATATAATGATATTTATGATTATAAAATATTGGCATGAGCAGAATCACAGAAATTGGGAGCACCTTCCAACTTACATAAGTAAACTACTTATAGAAATGCAGAAATCATGTAAAGGTTATGGAATATGATGATGGCATACTGTGACATAAAACCCATATCTCCTGATTCTGAAGCTAGCTTTCTTATTCTCCATCATGTTTTCACAACCCTAATATGTTTGCTAAATATTGTTGCATCATGGAGTCCACTGATTTCTTCAACAAAACATGGTACTCATGAAGTGGGAAGCTGAATCTTTCTGTTAAAAAAGGAAACTGTGTGTATATCTACGACATATACACACATGTATTTTGGTAGCATATTTAATTTTTGAAAAGATTCAAAATTAATTCACAACAAAGCCTTATAATATAGATAAGTTTTTAGCTTAGAAATATTTTCTTGATCAACTGGAATAATTAATCCTCTGTATTAACAGGTAAAGACAACAACAATAGTATGGTGATGAGAAATTTATATTTGGATTTCAGATAAGTTCAAAGCTTTTTAATAACATAAAATATTTTCTTTCATGGTGTGTAAGAAGAGAAGAAATATGCTACTTTTTTATTGTATAAAAAGAGTAAACTTTTGAAGATACCTAATTCAGCTTCTTACAAAGATATTCAAATCCTTCTTCATCACCTTCTGACAATTGGTCCCCAAGCTTCTGTTGGAGGACATGCAGGCACAAGGAGCTCCCTAGTATCTGAAACACTGTGGTAAATTAGACATTAGGCTTATGGATATATCAACTGTACAAAATAGAAAGTTAAGAGATAGAGTAATAGATATATAGAATTTTTATATAGTGGTATTGTAGGGTACTGTAAACAGAATGACTATTCAATAAATATACTGGGAAGTTTTATTTATCCAAATGATAAGCAAGGAAAGTTTATTTCCAATTCACACCATAGCTGAAAATGTATAACTCATGTGAGTTAGAAACGTGAATGTAAAAGGAAAAACTTTATAAATTTAAAGAGAATTATCTTTTTAAATGCACAACATGGAAGGACTTTGAGAAGTACATGCAGAGATCTTTCATCATGATTCCAGATTCCTCATCTCTGCATCATAGCGTAGGTGGGGAATCCTTGATCTCAATCTCATTCACTCCAGTAGTCAGGCGTCAGTTCCTTCAATTCTAATATTTTTGAAATATTTAAATCACTGTATTAGATGTCCTTCAGATTAAATTTCTAGAGTACCTTTTATTTCCTTCACTGAAGAATAAATGAAACTTTATTCAATAATGTGTCTGGCATTTATTTAGTATTTTTCAAATACCTGGAGGCATTAATGTTGCCAAGTACACTAAATGAATCAAATTACAAATTTAGAAAAGGATAAAGACATATTTTATGCCTTAGTATCTATGTTGTGGGTTGAATCTATCCAGAAACATGTAACACCAGAGCCTTAAAAAAAATTATGTCTGTATATAGCATTTGATTCCCAAAATTGCTATAGAGCAATTGTAAACAGAAAGACGCCTTTGATTCATCACTGAAGTCAAGAATGTATAGTTTATGGAGAATGAAAAAGGCATTCATTGTGTAAAACAAGATCATCTGTACCCTAAATGTTAAACATGTGTTGCATTTAAAAAGGAAATCCTGAACCCAGACAGTTTAATTTAATGTAGGCAGACTCTGGAGCTATATGTGATATGAATGACTTAAGTATGTATTTCAACTATTAGAGGAGGCCAGTTGATCCACATGCAAAGAACTGGGTTGAATAATTTAATTTTTTAGTCCAAACTGTTTCAGAATGTACAAAATCAACCATATGCTTCCATCACAGTATAAATTTAACAAAGTTGATTTCTTATGGATTTATCCTCAGCTATGATCATGTGCTGTGAAATATTAAATTACTTAATTTGACCAGTACATTTATTTTTACTGTTAGATTAACATTTTTTTAGCCATTAGAATTTTTAATTTAAAAATTTCATTCTCTTTGACAAAAATGGGGCAAGTTCTATTTGGTCATATTGTTCTGTACCAGGGCAGTGTTTGCTCCGGAAAAAGAAGTTGAAGTAAAACCAAAAAACTTTTGTCACTAAAGAATCTTAATACAGTATGATTATTGATTGTACTAAATATGCCACACTGATGAGGGAAGTTGAGGGTAGGGGAGAATGTCTATGTGGGTGGAGAGGGCTATATGCAAACTCTCTGTATTTTCTGCTCAATTCTGCTGTGAACCTGAAACTGCTCTAAAATAATAAAGTCTATTAAAAAAATGGTCAGTATAACAACAACCAGAAAAAAAAAATACAGTATGATTACATATTACAAGAGATTACATTACAAGAAATTAAACCTATGCAATTAATTTGGTCTCTAAGGACTCTAAAACATTCCATTTAGATAAAGATTAATTTTATAGCTGTTTCAGGCATAAGTAGTCTACATAACCCAAAGGAAATGATTTTTTAAGTGCAATCATTGATAATGAAAGCATTTGTCGATTCTGTAATAGAATGAATATCATGTTCTACATGAAGGATACAGCCCTCTTCCTGCTAAGGTTGCATTTTTATTCCAAAGTTTCCTCATAGCATTCTTCATTTCTGCATTTCTCAGGGTGTAGATAAAGGGGTTCAACATGGGAGTTAAGAAAGTTAAAACCACAGTCATGAATTTATCCGTGGGAAGGGTAGAACTAGGCCTTGCATACAGGAAGATACAAGGAACAAAGAATAAAATGACCACTGTCATGTGGGATGCACAGGTGTAGAAGGCTTTGGGATTTCCTCCCACACCAGGTACCTTAAGGGAGTGTAATATGACCCCATAGGAAACTAAGAGAGTGAAGAAGACAACAGTGCAGACTGCCCCTCCATTAGCTATCATGGAGAGTCTAATGAGGTGGGTGTTGGTGCAAGCAAGTTTCAATAAGGGGTACATGTCACACACAAAGTTGTCAATGACATTGGGGCCACAGAAAGGGAGCTGATAAATGAAGAGAAATTGAACCAATGAGTGCAGAAAGCCTCCAGTCAAGGCCAGAAGCAGCATGAGAGCACATATCCACCTATTCACGATGATCAAATAATGAAGAGGCTTACAGATGGCTACATATCGGTCATAGGCCATCACCACCAGAAGAATGACTTCAACACCAGGGAACAGATGATCCATAAAGACTTGAGTCATACAAGCCTGGAAGGAAATAGTCTTTTTATCATGAAGCAAGTCAGTGATCATTTTGGGAGCAATGGCAGTAGAATAGACAGTATCTATAAGTGATAAATAAGCCAGAAAAAAGTACATGGGGGAACCCAGGGACCGGCTGGCCATGATGGTCACCATGATAAGCAGGTTGCCCAATATGGTCACGAGGTAGATGAGTAAGAAGGGGACAAATAGAACTTTTTGCATCTCAGGGTTCTGTGTGAGCCCCAGCAGGACGAACTCAGTCATATTGTTCCTATTTTCCATGGTGATCCAAAGGTGTTGATCAGGTGTCAGAGTCTGCAAACAAAAGGGCCAACAATGACTTGGAGAGGATTGCAAGCTTTCTGTCAAAATGGTGATGTCTTACTGCAGTGTTTGCTCCATGAGGGCTCACACAGAGTAACTCTTTAGAACGTGAGACTTTGGAATCTCCTCCCACAAGCACTCCATCCAATATCACAGATTCCTTGCTTCAACTGCAGCAATGAGATGTCAGTATTCTAACTGGGAGGCATATGTGAGTGGGCATATCTGAGAGATGATCTACCACACAATAAGAAAGCTGCTTTCTCCAGAATCTCTCTCACAGAGACGGCATTTTTTTCATTTTATTTTAATTGAAGTTTGGTGATTTTACAATATTGTATTAGTTTCTGATGTGGAGTGATTCAGTCATACATATACAAACATACACATATTATTTTTCATATTCTTTTTCACTATAGGTTATTACAAGCTAATGAATATAGTCCTCTTTTATCTAAATTTTTATTGATGTATAGTTGGTTTACAACATCGTGTCAATTTCTGGTGTACAGCATAAGGAATTTGTTGTTCATCTATGTTATATATATAGTAGTTTGTGTCTGCTAATCCCAAACTTCTAATTTATCACCCCCAAACCTTTTCCCCTTTGGTAGCCATAAATTCATTTTCTATGTCTGTGAATCTGTTTCAGTTTTGTAAATAAGTTCATTTATGGCATTTCTTTTTTTTAGATTTCACCATAAGTGATACCATTCAAAGACTTCATTTTTGACTTTATATGTCATTTCTTTTTTCCCTGAGTGTGTTTTGGCCTCTGAAGTCCCACATGGGAACAATCCCATTCCTAATACCCTCACTTATATATTTATGTAAAGCAACGCCCAGGCATGGAGCATAGACTCACAGGCTGATGTTTAGATGGATGATGTTTTTAGTTACAACGAGCTCCAGAAACAGGGGAGAAAGTCACCCACATCAGTGAAGAACCAGGCACATCATGAGTGCTCATTAAATGCTTATTAACCTCTATTTAAGTAAAATGAATTTCAAAACTATAAGAGAGCAACTGAGCAGAGATAAATGTATAAAATTCTTCCCACCCAATAAAGTACAATGAAAGCAATATTTTATTTAAAAATACACACACACACACAAACTAAATTGACATTAATTGCAAATTAAATTATTGGAAGAAAAAAACAGACAATACAAATCTCAGTGAATGGGTACTACACAGACATTTTCCCTACTTTCCAAAAGTGTTTAGAATTAATTATTGCTAGCAACAGTTCAACTAAGAGTGCCAAAATAAAAATTTTAGGCAGAAACATAGTCTAGTGGAAAGAATTGTATACCCCAAATCTACAAATATTTAATTTTGCTCAAGCATCTTGGAAAAATCACGTCCCAACTCCTATTCTTATTGAAAGGTGATAGTCTTTCCACATTTGTGAGTTTCTGAATTCTTGTCATTGAAACTCTATCCTAAGTGGCATGCAAACATTTTTGCTGGTAGTCCACCTTTATATTAACCAGGGTGAGTTAGTATGTATTAAAGGTTATTTGGCTATTAAAGTAATGAGTAGATTAGACTAGTTATTTTGTTCATTTTGTAAATTCTTGGTTATCTGAGGTTGTGTGGAATACAGGCCATTCATTTTTGCTTGTGGAAAATAAAACTTTGTGGGGTCTTTCAGATATGATCCAGGGAAAATTTTACATGTAATGTGAAGGTTACTTCTTTTTGGCAAAATTATTTTAAATGTGCCCCTTTTCAGTGTCAATTTACAGGCTATTTGTGGAGGGCAGGAGATTTGTGCCTCTGGCAAGCCAATTTGTACTCAAACATCAGAGAGAGAATAAAAGTGTAGGAGAGAAAAAATGCAACATTACTGAGAAAAGGCAGATTGGAAATGGCAAAGATCTTAAGTGGAATAAAATATGCTTTGAAATTGGTCAACAGTTTGAGTTGGGGGAACTTGCTGAGTTGGGACTAGAGGAATTTCATATTTCCTGAGCTGTAGATTCAGATATGGATTAGAGGGCAACTCAGCATTAGCTCCAGGATTTGCCTCTCAGAATCTTTATACTTCCAGATCAAAGGAAAATGAGAAAATCAAATTCTCAATTTTAAGATGCATGAGTACGAGCTATCAGTTGCCTAAAGGAGTTCCATCTTCAGGGCTCTGGATGTGCATTTCCTATGCACCTAAATATCTCCACTCACAATTAGCAAGCTGTACCTGCATTTATGATGAAAGGTGAATACCCACCTTCCATAGGAGTTGTCCAAGCATACAACAGATAATGTCTAGTAGCAGAGCCTAACCCTTTGACATGTAAGTACTTACAACACCTATATGTTTATAGCTGGTTTTCTGCCATCATCTATCAGGTCTGTTGGGATGGTAAACATGTGTTTTTAATAATTATATCTCCAGAATCTGAGCATGCCTTATGTATTTAAGTGACCTAATTATTACTCTAAACTGTTCAAAGCTATTAACTCAACTGGAAATGACACAAATTTCCAAACTTTATCAATATTGTATGTTGTTAAAAAATTAATATATCTGCTTCAGACATTTGTGAGATTCTTCAAATTTCAATGAGAAATGGTAAATCTTTAAAGAATTCTCAAAATGTAGATCACGGTAACTATCCCACAATGACAAATAAAATAAGGTAAATCAAGTAGATCTACACTCTGCCAAATTCAACAACATAAGGTGGGGAAGCAAACCATTTGGTCTGTACGGTGTGAAATACTGGAAAACACTTAACAACCAGCAAGATATTGGAAACTAAAGACTGAAATTTTCAGTTTCAGTGCAGATCCTTTTGAAACATATGATCACAATTCCTGTCTAACCATGTTTATATTTAGTTGTTTATATAGTGAAAGCTGTTTCCCATGTAACCAATAGCTTTTTCTTAATGAGTGAATAGTGACCATTAAAATGATGTAGCAAAAATTTTGAGATTCTAATATACACCTAACTAGCCCATTAGATTTTAAAAAGATAAATTTTAAAGAAATATCACATTTCCCAAGTCAATTTCTTCATAGTAGAAGAAAATGCTAACACTAAACCCTATGTATGATTGAACAGACTTTGGGAACAGATACTCAAATTATCTATCTGAGATGGTAAACTACCTGTCTCAAACATAGTTTTTGTCAGTTTTGTTTTGTTCTGTTTTATAAATATTGCCAGGGTGGCCCTTAATGGCTGCAGTGTATTTTATGAAAACTCAAGTTCTAAATTCCAACTTGGAATTGGAGCCTGAAAATACCAACTGTGTGACTTGGGTAAATCACTCAACAGCATTTCTATAATGATACATAATAGTATCCAACACATAGGCTGGTTTTAGAGATCAAATAGAATAACACAAATAATGCTCTCCAAACATGGATAAGTAATAAGCACTAAATAAATTAAAAATATGATTTACTACTTTTTGTTTCCTCATATAAATTTGGTGCCACATCTCTACAATTAGTTTTACATGACTTTCCTCAAAGTCCCCTCTTTTTTCTAATTATCCAAATGAGCATTTCCTGAGGGATGGATGGATTGAGTGTGTCATTATCATATGCAATTATGGAAGCTATCCAGTTTTACCACTCACATTACTATGTCCAGATTCCCTTGTCTGTCTTTCTCCATATCTCATTCTACACTCTAAAATGTATCATTAAAACTAAAGTTAATCTGAAGGAATCTTTCCATAAATTAAGAGGTCAACTGTCTGTATACTGCAGTATGTCCTATTTTATTCACATTATTTATAAAAATGAGAAAATATCCGTGTCATTAACCCACAGGCAGAAATAGATGTTGGTATTTTCTTTAAGATTTTTGTAGATCCTGTATCTAGCATAATTCATGAAATTCCACAGACACTAAAATTCACTCTCCAATAAGGTGTAAGTATAGCTCAATGAGTCTAACAAGTAAGTAAATGTCTCTGAACTCAAGCTTTCACATTTTAAGTTTTGAGTTTCCTTTTGTAGTAAGAAGCTGTTAACTTACATATCAAAATGTTATTTGAGGCACAAACATAAAGGATTAAGAAGCAGAGACTGAGATATTTGTACAACAGTGTTCATAGCAGCACTATTCACAATAGCCAAAAAGTAGAAACAACCCAAATGTCCATCAACTAATGAATGTATAAACAAGTTGTGGTATATACAGACAATGGAATATTAGTCAGCCTTAAATAGGAGGGAAATTCTGATATGTTACAACATGGAGGAAACTTGAAAAGCTTAGGATAAGTGCAATAAGCCAGAAACAAAGAGACAAATATTTTATGATCTCCCTTTCCTGGAATACCTAGAATAGTCATGTTCTAAGAGACAGGAAGTGCAACAGTGGTTGCCGGGGACTGGAGGGATGAGAAGATGCAGAGTTACTGTTTAATGGAAGCAGAGTGTCAGTTTGAGATGATAAAAAGTACTGGGGATGGAGAGTGGTGTTGGAAGCACAATAATGTGTTTCATACACTTTACCACAGCTTAAAAAGAAAATTACCAAAGGAAATAAAATGTCTACACAAGAACATTCAAAAATAGTATGCTCAAGAAAACAATTTGCAAAGAGCTAACATAATCCTTACTATTATCTTCAATATATTAACATGCAAAATAAGTAATTGTCAGATTCCCTAAATTATATAAAACAATCTAAAAGGTTATTGTGAAGACCATATATATGTCCTGTTATATTTTGTTATTCTTGGCTGTGTTTAGTCTCTAATTCAGTTTGCATTTAAACAATTGTAATACAAAATATTGGAGAAAATTATTGTCATTGTATTTATTCCAACAGTATTATACAGAGTGGGGTAAACATGCATGCTATTTTATTCCTGGAACTTCTGACATAAAATACTTGAGGTTAAATGATAAAACATGCTTCATAAAATAGATACAGAATTTATTTCAAGTAACTCAGTTTTCCCTATTCTCATCAAAGGGAAGAGTTTTTGTTAATATGTTACCTGAATTTTTTATTTCCTCTTCAGTCACTTGTTCCAAATCCAGGCTTCACCAATTCTCTGTGGTCCTTGAAGATGAAGGTTTAGTTCAATGAAGGTGAGGCAGGATTTCAACCATATCAACCCTGGTGTGACTGCAGAGAGAATATCAGGATACACTTAATCACTTTGTCACATAAACATATATCTTTCTGCCTGCACAAGGCATGATCATATTCTTCAACTTTTATAGACACTTTATAGTTTAAATTATTGAATTA